TTGTGTTGGGTTGGTTAGGCGACAATTAGCCGAAAGCTTAAACGGTTCGCTGTCATGCCATTGTCACATTAGATATTAGATGGGGCTGAAACAAGCAAGTTGGCCATAAGGGTGTTTCATTGCACAAAACGTTGTGACATTGCAATTTTACGCTACATTCCCAATGGCCAACGTCACTGAACCTTGCTGCTGGCCCCAAGTGGTAATACGCTTTTTTGGTAATAATTACTCTTGAATCGGTTTGCAAATTTGTTGCTAAATGGTAGGAGTCGTCCAAAGCCAAGAAAATTATACACAAACCTTTACAAAATATCTTAATCGAAGAAATTTGCCACATATTCCAAGAAAAATTTTGTAAAGAACTATGGATTTGTATGGAGAACTATGGAAAAATATCCTCAAATGTTCTTACAGGTTTTTAACATAATTTATAATAAAAACAGCAAAGGAAAGCTAACTTATTTGGCAGCTATAGGATAAAGTCCCCTATATAGATCGCAGGGTTGGCTATGTCTTCCCCAATCCTAAACCGATTCTCAAGCGAAATACCTTAATCGATTTCTGTATCGATTCGCCACCATTCTGCATCAAAATCCTAAGACAAAATATTTTTTTTAATTTTTTTCAATTTTTCGTCATGGGACCCCTTGAAAATGGGGTTTTTCCTATAGGGCCACAGTGATGGCTATATCTTTCCCAATTCTCATCCAATTCTCAAGCGGAGTACCTTAAACGATTTCTGTATCGATTCGCCACCATTCTGCATCAAAATCCTGAGACAAAATATTTTTTAGATTTTTTGTCCATTTTTCGTGATGGGACCCCTTGAAAATGGGTTTTCCCCTATAGGGGCCACAGTGATGGCTATATCTTCCCCAATTCTCATCCGATTCTCAAGCGGAGTACCTTAAACGATTTCTGTATCGATTCGCCACCATTCTGCATCAAAATCCTGAGACAAAATATTTTTTAGATTTTTGTCCATTTTTCGTGATGGGACCCCTTGAAAATGTGGTTTTCCCTATAGGGCCCACAGTGATGGCTATATCTTCCCCAATTCTCATCCGATTCTCAAGCGGAGTACCTTAAACGATTTCTGTATCGATTCGCCACCATTCTGCATCAAAATCCTGAGACAAAATATTTTTTAGATTTTTTGTCCATTTTTCGTCATGGGACCCCTTGAAAATGGGGTTTTTCCTATAGGGCCACAGTGATGGCTATATCTTTCCCAATTCTCATCCAATTCTCAAGCGGAGTACCTTAAACGATTTCTGTATCGATTCGCCACCATTCTGCATCAAAATCCTGAGACAAAATATTTTTTAGATTTTTTGTCCATTTTTCGTGATGGGACCCCTTGAAAATGGGTTTTCCCCTATAGGAGCCACAGTGATGGCTACATCTTCCCCAATTCTCATCCGATTCTCAAGCGGAGTACCTTAAACGATTTCTGTATCGATTCGCCACCATTCTGCATCAAAATCCTGAGACAAAATATTTTTTAGATTTTTTGTCCATTTTTCGTGATGGGACCCCTTGAAAATGGGTTTTCCCCTATAGGAGCCACAGTGATGGCTATATCTTCCCCAATTCTCATCCGATTCTCAAGCGGAGTACCTTAAACGATTTCTGTATCGATTCGCCACCATTCTGCATCAAAATCCTGAGACAAAATATTTTTTAGATTTTTTGTCCATTTTTCGTGATGGGACCCTTGAAAATGTGGTTTTCCCCTATAGGAGCCACAGTGATGGCTATATCTTCCCCAATTCTCATCCGATTCTCAAGCGGAGTACCTTAAACGATTTCTGTATCGATTCGCCACCATTCTGCATCAAAATCCTGAGACAAAATATTTTTTAGATTTTTTGTCCATTTTTCGTGATGGGACCCCTTGAAAATGGGTTTTCCCCTATAGGAGCCACAGTGATGGCTATATCTTCCCCAATTCTCATCCGATTCTCAAGCGGAGTACCTTAAACGATTTCTGTATCGATTCGCCACCATTCTGCATCAAAATCCTGAGACTATATATATATATATATATATATGATATAACTATATTTTGTATCTGTTATTTAAGATCAAAACCGTTACAAATGTAAACCGATAATCTAACCAATAAACTAATGTTTTCAGCAGGTACTTGAGCAAACCCTCGCACACCACCTCTGACTCTGCCTCTGACTCATTCAGATAAACCCTTAGGGGTGGCTAATATTTTATAAGCCTCTTTTATTTTTTGGACTATCGATCCGTGTATTGACAGCACTTGTGCGTCGAGATTAACAGATCACGCCACAGAGTCGGAATCATCGTCAATCACTTCCATATCAGCGGCTTAAGTAGTTCATTAGAAACCATTAGAATGAGGACCCGGGGCGGAGATTAGACACCGTTCGGCCCTCTCCCTCTTTAGCCCCTGTCCGAGGTTTTGGGCTCTTGATTCTCAAAGTGCCGCAATGAAAAGGCACTTGAACAACAATTCCCTCACCTTCTCGCACTCCTCCAAGAGACACGGGCCCATTGTCAAGCCAATAAAACTGGTCAGCAGCCCGACTTCTCGATTTTCTTACTTTTCAGTTCTCAGTTCTCGATTCTCGGACTCGTATTTTGTCCCATTCCCATCCGACAGATACAGATACTTATCTTTTTTTTGTCCATTTTTTTGGGGACAGGGGGCGCTTGTACTTGGGAGTGTAAGTGTAAGTAAAAGTAAATTAGATAAACGCCAGAACGAACAATCATGACAAAGACTGTGTATGGCTCCCTCTCTCTCTCTATCCCCAAGATCGCCCTCTCTTTCTGGTTGGAGCCTTAAAATGAATCTTAATTGAACCAAAAAAGACGGCGACGATGAACGATCAAAGCGGTATCGCCGCCCTGCCACTTCGATCGCTTCGGGAAACACGGCTGGTCAGAGCTCAATGAAATTGACAAATGTTTGGACAAATAGACTAACCAACCGATCGACGAATCTCTCTTCTGTTTTTTAAAGCCACTTTTCCTGTTGTTTTTGTAATTAACTTGTGCAAATATTGAGAGCCGGCCAGGTAAGCGATTCTGGTATCTAAGGGTTTTGGGTCAAAAGTTGCAGCTAAATTTTCGCCTCCCAGCGCGAGGAGTGCCTTGCCCTTTCGGGAATGTGTGTAGAATCTGAAAGGGACAGAACGAGAAGAAAAGAAAGAGAGGGGACAAAAGGTAAAAAAATGGTAAATAACAAACAGCTAAAGTTGAAGACAAGTGGAAAGGTGAGTTGGTAGCACTGAGAAAAAAGGAGCTTAGGTTATAAGGTCTGGAGGGTATTTAAAATAGTTTCAAGACATACAAGATATTTTTTTAATTTTCTAGCTATGGTTAGGACTTTAGAAACAAGCCTTATCTCAAAAAAAAAAATTAGAAGCTATATTGATTAAATAGATTAAATAAAATGCTTCTCTAAACCAACTCCTTTCATGGTATACGCATTCTATAAGTCTAATTTAATTTTTTTAATTTAATAAGTTCTTCAAAAGGTCTAAGCTTAAAATTCCAAGTCCCTTAACCATTTTCCTCTGTGTATTCCGTATGGATAAGCCGCTGGAGAAAAGTGTCTGCAAGATTGAAAGACTGACTGATGGATGGACTGAGCCGAGCAAACAAGGAAAAACCTCAGCAAACCAAACCCGGGGTTTATCTGAACCCCGAGAAGATAAAGTGAGTGCCCGAAGAATGCGCGGTAGCTGGAAAACAAGTGACTAACCCTGGAGGAACATAAACACTAGTAGGCCAGGAACTTAACCCAAACCCATACCAAAACAAGAAAGGAAAGCTAACTTCGGGCGGAGCCGAAGTTTATATACCCTTGCAGTTAAAACCGGATATATATCGCAAACATCGGATATAGTTGGCCGATCCTTATGGGAATAGGAATATATAATCCAATTTATTACAATACAAAATCTAAAAAAAGTCCCAAACTTCTATCTTCAAAAATACGAAAGTTGATATTTCTACCAAATACCATTTCCGATCGTTCAGTTATATGGCAGCTATGGGATATAGTCGGCCGATCCTAATGAAATTTGGTAGGTTGGATCAACTGACCAAGAATTAAATCTGTACTAAGTTCCAGCTTTCTATCTTCAAAAACACGAAAGTTGGGTCATTTCCGATCGTTCAGTTATATGGCAGCTATAGGATATAGTCGGCCGATCCTTATGAAATTTGGCATGACGTAATGTTTTGCCAAATATAGCTCACATGTCAAATTTGAACTCTCTAACTCTAAAAACACCAAAGTTATACCATTTCCGATCAATCAGTTATATGGCAGCTATAGGATATAGTCGGCCGATCCGGGCCGTTCCGACTTATATACTGCGTGCAAAGGAAAGGAGGGTGTGTGCAAAGTTTCAAGACGATAGCTTTAAAACTGAGAGACTAGTTCGCGTAGAACCAGACAGACGGACAGACAGACGGACAGACGGACAGACGGACAGACGGACAGACGGACATGCTCATATCAACTCAGGAGGTGATCCTGATCAAGAATATATATACTTTATAGGGTCGGAGATGTCTCCTTCACTGCGTTGCACACTTTTGACCAAAATTATAATACCCTCTGCAAGGGTATAAAAACCATAGCCATGCCAATTAGCCACAGGGGCAATTACGGCTGACAAGTTGTCGCCATAATTAATGAAGTGTTGTCTATATATTGTGACGGCGATCAATTGGCGACACATTGCGGGCATGTCGCACATGCATCATGTTGCAAGTTAGTCAATGGCTGGGGCTGCGCACGCACAACAATCCTGCAGCATGTTTAAGCCAACCACGACCGCGTTTGCCTATCAGAACGATAGGCCCCCAAAGAAAAGGAAACCAGCCAGCCAGCACCAGCAGCAGCAGCAACAGCAACATCAACACGAGCAACATAAGCAGCAGCAGCAGCAGCAACACCATCCATCGGCAACAGCAACACGAAGTCGAACGTCGATGATTCAGTCGAATGCCGAACGACCTGACGGACACACGTGTGGCGCGGTGGTTGAAAAAAATATATCCAAGAATTATACAAAAGAACTGAATGAGTATCGAAATCCCAAAACCGAAACCAAAATTAAAATTTCGTTTTTTTGGAAAAATAAACAGCCAGTCGGAAGCAAAAGGCAGGCAGGCGGCAGCAGCAACTCCCCCAAATAATTAGAGTTGAGAAAGTGTGAAAAACTGTACGCAGCCGGCAAATACTAGGTAATACTTCGGAGTGCGGCGTGTCTGTGCAGTGTGATACCTTTTCGTGATCTATATAACTTGGAGCAACGTATGGCAAGTGGCCGGCCGGCCGGCCCACAAAGAGAATATATACCTAAATGCTTGGCGGCGCCGTTTCATCTGCATCGGGCGAACCCTTAAAACATTAAGCTGCCCCGATGGATGGATCGGCGGTATAAAGAAACACCGTCGCCAGTGTTTCGCTGGCCACAGCAACTACGTCGACAAACCAAATCGAAATCGAAAACGAAAACGAAACCCGTTTCGTTGCATTTTGATACGGAGAGACGGATCGTCGGTGGGGATACTCTCGGATCCGATCGGATCGCCTTTTGATCTACAGACAACAACAGATCCCGCTGCTGTTGGCTTTCCAAGGAAACCCAAAGGAAAATATCTGAAAAACGCACATCGCAGCTTAAAAAAATAAATCATTGTTTGGAATAACAAAGCCAGAAGCCAGAAACGTTTGAAGTGCCAAAGTGAAACAAAAAAAAATTGATTTGAAAATTAAACCAGTCCACTAATCAGAAAAAATAACAAAAATGTAGTAGTCGGACAAAAAAAAACCCAAAAATAACAAGTGGAAATCAAACGAAAAGTATTATAAAGTCCAAAATAAATACATAATCTCACAACACGGAATTTTCAACAAGTTTTATACACGGCAACATAAAATTTTCTATTAACCGAAAACGAAAGAATATATAAATCGCATAATTAACTTTAAATTAATCCATATTGTACGAAGTAGAACCGTAGAATATAGTAATTTATTAACGAGTACTTACCAGCAAACATCCACAATATATCACGCCAAAAAGTAGACTATAGAAACAGCATTTAGCAAAATCAACAACAATTCACCAGAATAACCGCTTCAACAATTAATCCACACAACCTACAACAATCGAAACAAAATGCCATCATCGACGGGAGTATTGGTATTGCTGATCCTGTGCCACCTGAGCCAGGGCCAGGTGCGAAACGAGGATCAGCTAATGATGGTGGGCCAGAATGGCGATCTGGACAGCAGCAATCCCTCCATTCCACACCACCAACAGCCGCCACATCAACAGCAGCACCACCAGCAACAGCAGCAGCAACATCATCAGCAACACCAACAGCAACACCAGAGCAATCACAACCTGAACAGCACCTTGCTGAACACCTTGATGGGTGGCGGCAGTGCTGGTATTTCCGGTGGCCAGGCGAACGGCTCACCCGGAGGAGGAGGCGGCGGCGGTGCCATGATCAACCAACTAAGCGGCAGTAGCAGCACCTCGAGCTCCCCCTCGGCTATGGGAGTGCCCGGAGGATCTGGCCTAATGCCTCCTTGGCACTCTGGCATGGGAATCGGAGGAGTTCCAGGAAACGGAATGGCCATTCCAACGTCCCACAACCATGGATCGAATATGGGCCACGGACATGCCCTGGCCGGACTGGCAAACCTGGGAATAATAGTTCCTGGAACCAAGGTACTACCCGGCAATATGGGTTACGGCGGAGTCGGAGTTGGCGGAATGGGAATGGGCATGGGAGTCGGAGTTGGAGTCGGAGCAAACTCTAATAACATGGATATGCAACAAGGCCTGTACAAGTGAGTCAATCTACTATGTAGCTATAGCTTTCCGCATCTGCCGCTGAAAGCATCTTAATTGAACTGAAATCTTATCAATTGATGAAGATCTTTCAGTCAGCCATCAAATTGTTTTGTCCTATGAGGAAATTTCTGCAGTCAGCGGTATAAGTTTGAGTTGCTCAGTTAAGTTTTTATGGCCCTTTTTGTGGGACCCCAGCAATCAACGTTTACAATTATTATATGTGGTCGCAATTATTAATACATGTTCGTGTTTAACCCGCCGCGTGAACTTTGATTCGCTTGAGAATCTGATTTCTTTAACAAACCGCACCGTCACCCTCGCTGAACTTTGATTACATAAATAAACGAGACCCTATGTAGGTAATTAGTTAAATTATGGAATAAATAGAGTACCCTCTATGGCTTTTAATTAAAAATTAATTACATATATCCAAAAATATGAATATTGAACCAGAGAAGTTTAAAGATTTTTAAACAAAACCCCCTCAGATAATTATCTGTCATCATATGGTCTTATAAACTGACTTCAGTTCATCGAACTGCTTTGATCATATTTCCGGTGATATTTTGATCTGATCAAGTTAGTTGCCACTCAAAATAAATAAATATAACTGGAAATGTGCAACAGTCGGCAGACAATCATCCATCCATCCTGCCACTTGGCTGCGGCACCCTTTTAGGTCTTTTGTCTTTGGGGGCTAATAATCAGCTTCAATGCAACATAAATCCAAGTCCTAAACAATGGCGAACGTCTGGCCAGAGTCTAAACAATAAAGTAAAATTATTTATATTTTTTTGTGTTGGTGTTGTTGTGCTACTCTTGAGCTTTATTCTGCGGCTGTCAGCCGAAAAAAACATACCCGAAGCACGGGGGTGTTGCATTTGTGGGGGGTTGTCGGTTGTCAAAATGCTGCTAGCCTAGCCGCCTTTTTTATGATTATTAGCAGATGCGAACAGCATCAGGTTTACAGAATGGGGGGAAGGGTAGGAGGATGGGGCGACGGTGGCAGAGCGTAAATTTTACTTACACTTCACCATTAATTTGCCCACTGACAGGGGAGCACGGCCGAGCTGGTCGGAGGAGAGGTCGAGGGGCTTACTGGCCTGGCGGTGGGTCGTCTACCAGTTATTATTTGTCATTACAAAACCACCCAACAAAAGGGGCAAAACCCCATAACATCCTTGAAGCATGAGGGATGAGATGGTACACTGAAAAAGTAGCATTTGTATTCAGAAATCTAGAAACAACAAAGTGGCTATTTGCCTATTAACTTTCAATGAGAAACTAAAAAGTATTATTTTTTGTATTATTCCCTAGTATCTATACTAATATCTTATATTATAATAATTACCTATAATTTCTATCATTTTTTTCTTTCCACATTTGATACCTTCTTTGGCTTGCCAATTTTTTTTTATTCCACAAAACATTGATGGGAGAAAGGCTCCACTTGAAGCACTTGCCGGGGTAGAAAGTGTTTCACTTATTTTCCCCTGTTACATATATATATTTTTTATTATTTCCTTTGCTAGGCACATGCATTGACCCAACCAACCGGCCAGACGACAGAAATCGATAGACAATGGGGATCCCATCCAGTTCCAAATGGTTCCGGGACTGGGACCACACGGGACCCAGCTGAATATTCAGTCGGTGTCCATTTAGACGCGCTGCTTGATTACAATTAATCGGCTTATTTAAGCAAGACATCGTTTTGTTCTTCTGCCATTAGACAACATGTGAGTGTGGGTACCTCTACTCAGCCCTCTTTATTTGCAGCAGGTGCCATTACCCATTACCTGTTCCAGTACAAGTACCATCACCAATGGCAGTACAAAGTGCGAGTTTATTGATTCGAAATGTCAGCACGAATCGCAAAAGTCAATCGCAAAAGTGCAACACTCACATGAGTTGCACAAGACCTACAAATTTATTTGCAAGGGTTTGGATTTTCCAAGGCAAACGAAGTTGGCAGATAGCACTTGGGTCTCTAATGAATTTGATTTGCGAAATTACATAAAAGATAAATAGAGGAATTTTCCCATACAACCCAATTAGGGTTTCTTTTGAATAATAATCGACTCATAAGACTATTTTCTTTTTCTTATCAAATCCGATTGAATTATTACTCTCACTACCTACATTAAATCCCTTTTTCAAACATCCCATTTCCATTTATAACCCCTTGACAAGACTTCTAAACTCAGAAAACTCAATTTGCGTTATCCATTTGAAAATCGAAATGTAAACGATTCGAAAAGCAGCGACTATGTGACGCCTGTTTACACAATCAATATGCAGAAAATGCTGATTAGGGGATGTAATGAAAATTTAATAATTGCTGTCAGAGGGCACACACTCGATGATGATGAAGTTCCCTCTGGTGTGCTGTGAGTTAGTTGCCTTGCTGCCGGATTCCTGGATTACCCTTGTAGTCAAAAATAAAAGGCTGGCGCAATTAATCTCCCATGTCCGGGGTTGATCTGAATGGCGCTGAACGAAATCCAAGAACCTGAAATCCCAGAGTCCACGAGCAAATAGAAACAAGAACCGAGCCGAACCGAAACTTATGGAAAGGAATGGGCGGGCTGGCCATGGGGTTGGTTTCAATTTCAGAATTTTGAAAAGACCCAGAAGCAAATGGCAAATAATGTAATAATGTTTGACAGTCTCCTCGGTCGTCTCGATTCTCTGTCGTCGCTGTCGGTTGTCGGTTGCCGGTTGTTGTTTTGTTAACAGACATTTATGACATTATACGGCGCAAAATTATGTTGTTACAACCCCACAGGATCTGATTTGGAATCTCTGTGTCCCAGACGACTGTCTTTGTCCCTCTGTGATTTCATTTTTGCCTTTACAAGCGGCAAAAATCTGTTTAATTGTGCGTAAGACAAAGTCCCAACCCCTTTTCGGCAAGTCCCAAAGTTAAATATTTGTCAAAGAGTAATTAAAACTTACTTACCGTTTCCTTGGCTGCCTCAGATCCTCAGGCTTTCATGTCCATGTCCTTTGCTTCATTGGGCGGGACACAACTTCAACTTCAACTCCAAAAGCAGTCATGTTAACTATGAGTGCAAGTTTCCATTGTTGTGGATAGAAACTTTCCGACTATATCATCGGCAAAGAAAAGGAGTTGTAAGTGGATGGTCGTGTAACCCGGGCGGAAACATAAAAATGTTAATTTCCAACTCACCAGAAGAAAAGCCTTTTGTGTTGTGTTGCCTCAGCTACCGCAAATTATGGTCAAGTCCTGGGGAAAGCAAAGGCCCTTCTTGCCTTTCCAACGATAACGATTATGTGCAAAGTTTTGTTTTTTATTCTCTCGCCGCAAAATTAAAAATATCCAGAGGAAATCCTTGCGATGACTGCAGTTGGCAGTTGGCATCATTGCCACCATGTGGCACCGACCGAAATTTATTTGTCTCAATAGGACGACAATAATAATGTAGCAGGGTCTTAAGGTTGAGGTACAACAGCTGCTCAACAGGACTACTAGGACATCTTATTAAGTTTCAGCCATCACGGTATTAACTTTGTGCTTATATCTTGCCCATTTTAAAAGAATATCTTTCATTACTGATCTTTGCTAGATATCTCTTAATAAAATCTTCCATTCAGCAGATATAATATTTCACAGGCAAACATTTTTATTTGGAAAATTTCCACTGGCCACTGGGTTAATATTTTCTTCGAAACAATGGCAACTTCAACACATCTATTAGGCATCCATTGGCCAAGAATTTTTCAATAATTACTTTAATAAATTCATTCTCTCAACGATTGTGGAATATTCCGAGATGTTTGGCGAAAGAGAATGCTATTTAGGGGATTTTGTATCTCAAATCAGCATATTTCTGGCCAGATTTTCTCTAGTGATTTTATGGCCAACAATTTGCCTGTCGTCTTTTGCCATTTGAACTTTTTAATTTTGTCGTTGTTGATGGCTGCATTTTATGAGGCCGTTGTCTCTCAACTTGCCCGGTTTCCCTGGATCTTTTTTTTTCATTCCGGCAACTCCTGATGGTATTTCCGTTGCTGTGGTTTTTGTCTCTTAATGATAAACTGGGGTTCACTTTTCGTCTTCGTTTATATTTTTTATATATAAGTTTTCCCCCATTTTGGATAAATTCCTTTATTCCGAATGTCCTTTTGTTGAAATGAAAAGCCGGGCAAAGGGAAAAGCTAAAGCTGCGCCATAAAAGTTTAAACAAAAAGCAGCTGTGCCAGACGAGAAGGCACACAAAAGGAGAGATCAGAGTCATAAATTGGCCATGATGATGGAACCCAATAAAAGTGCCAGACCCGAAGATGCCAGAAGATGGTTCAGTTTGGTCCGCTGTTGTTGTTAATGATGAACAACTCGAAAACACAAACTGCATTCGTTGAGGGTTGTTGCAGGCGGCAGGCGGAAGACAACAATAGTTGAATGGTTATGGTTTCTTTCGGTTTTCGGTTTTTGAGTTTTCGGCTTTTCAGATACGCAACGATGCGTTCCCATGACATAAAAATGCATTTCATGTAATCAACGAAAAGTGCGTAAAGAAAATCACCCAAATGACTTAAACAAATCAGTCGAATACCCAAATGCAATTCAAGCGTGAAGCCTTAAATCAAACAACAAAACACCATTTTAAAGGTGTAAAAAGTAAGACAAACTTTGAAGAGCAGATGCAGATACTGTTGGTATAGATTCAAAGATACACTAAGGGAAATCTTCCGCTTCAAGAAGGTCTGAGAAGGCTAAAAAACCTCTGCAAGGTCTATGATAGGACTTTAGATAAATAGCCCTGGAAAGCCTTAGTTAAATGGTGTTTTTATACCCTTGCAGAGGGTATTATAATTTTGGTCAAAAGTGTGCAACGCAGTGAAGGAGACATCTCCGACCCTATAAAGTATATATATTCTTGATCAGGATCACCTCCTGAGTTGATATGAGCATGTCCGTCTGTCCGTCTGTCCGTCTGTCCGTCTGTCTGTCCGTCTGTCTGTTTCTACG